TTTCTTGAGAAGCCATTACTGAAAAATTGACTCTAGAAATTCCAGAGCAGGAGCACTGGCACAACTGTGAAACCAAACCTTCCAAACATAATGCTCTAAGAGATTGTTAACAAAAGAAAAAGACTTTGAGTCAGCCCTCTAAAGGCTTTCCAATTTGTACCTTTGAACTTTATGGTGGAGGTGGGGGAAGAGCAAAATGTACTGGTCTGGCAGAGAGCCTATCTGATTTCCCTTCAGACCCGGAAACTGGGTAGAAATGAGCCAGCTTCTAAAGATGAGATGGGATTGCAATTCTGTGAGTACCAGCTTTACATCCCCATCATTTATGTGCTGAGAAAGGGTGACAGCAGCAAGAAGGGCCTGTAAGGCCCTTGGTATTCAGGCTTGCAAGTTCCACAGCAGGAATGCTGAATGAGGCAGAACTTGCTTGGAAAAGTGTTGAATCAGTGAATTTCAATGAAACAGCCCCCAGAGGCAAAATATTTAGTGATTTCAGCCTGCATTATTTATTGACTCGTGGGGAGTTTGTGGGTTTAACATTTTATTACTATGGCACCAGGTCACCTGAAAAGCTGTAGCCACTGGAAAGCTCCCCAGAAGCATGTTTTCATATTATCTCAACAGTGCACAGGGGCACTGTGAGGACTGGACAGTCTCCACTGTGTTTCTGGGGATAGATAGAAAATGCCGGGTCTTCTGCAGGCATCACTTTCTAAGGAAGTCAAATGAGAGTGAGTCAAATCCATACGTGCTTTGTTTCTTCCTTTGGTGATCTCATGGCGGTTCTTATATTGTGCCTGTAGGAGCACGCAGGGCCGGGAAACCTGGCATCTCTATGATCGAAGGTACATTTGGGCACCTGAACAAGTGGACCCCAGGGTGCTTAGCATCAAAGAAAGCTTTAATTCTTTAGAATACAGAACCAAGGACAAACAAAATCCCTGTCAGGAGGATTTGAAAAGGGAGTCAACCTATATATAGTATGAATTTTCAATAAAGTTCACTTTAGCCATTTTCGAAACATAAGGAAAAGTCCTTATTCAGAATTTTTCTCTCCTACATTACTTTACATACTATTTTAAGAAAGTCAGAACTACAGAACAAACTACTGTCAGATATTTTCCTTAAAGAGATGTCCAGAAATTTGGGTTAAAAATATGATTTGGCTTAATTTCAAGTGCTAATAATTCTATAAATTTATATTGCTTGATATAACGACATTCTAAAATGTCATTTCAGAGATCAAACAAGAAGTAAAGTGTTAAGAGTAGTTTTACTGTTTGATTAGTTGTACATTGATAAGATAGCTAGACATAATATACAGTCATGCACTGCATAATGATGTTTCAGCCAACAGTGAACCATATATACAACAGTAGTACCATAAGATCATTATAATGGAGTATATATAGAAATCCTGTATATGCCACTTGTTATTGACATTGCAGATCAAGTAGGGAAATGTGACTGATAGTCAGTAATTAATGGTGCTGGGACATTTGGTTTTCCATATGAAAAATATATGTAAATATTTATATATATCATTCAGGTTCATGTAGGTACACTCTAAGATGTTCAAACAATGACAAAATTTCCTAAAAACACATTTCTCAGAATGTATCCCCGTCATTAAGTGGCACAAGACTATATAAAAATATATAGATATATTGCACATGTGATAACGTCCTCGGTCCAGTGTGGTGGGCTAGAAGCAGGGCTCCAGAGCCAGATTGTTTAATTTGGCCCCTGGCTCCACCAGCTCTGTGGCCTTGCCTAGCTTTCTCATTTTAAATTTCTCTAAAAACCTACTGTTTAAAGCAAAATTAATAATGGATTTTGTGCCTCAAGCATATGAAAAACTATAGTGTATAAAATCAATCACAGGTCACAGGAAGGAATTTGTGTTAAATAATACATACACACAACTGTATGCATCCACACATGTGTATCTCTCAAGGCAGCATTTGGTGCTTGTTGGGCCCTTGACTTAGTACTGGAAGGTGATTTAGGGTCTTGGAAGGGAAGAAGTCCCATCTTGCGTGTCTAAATCATGTTAAAATTGTGCATATATCTAATTTCCACGCTCCCTGAGAGAAAACACACCCCCCCCCCAAACAACTAAAGAGAAATGAAAGAAACCTGCTTCGGCCTCAGCTTCCAATTTGTAAAGTGAGAAAGCCCGACTAGATTTATCAGTCAGATTAGAATGTTCTCCAAGGTTACTTCCAAGAGTGTAGCAGATGTCTTACCTCCTGTTGCCTGTATTAGCCCTTCATGGACAATGAGATTAAAGGCACAGGTGGTTCTTCAGCAAAACTTTAATTGCAGAGGTTTAAGTAGAGAAAGAATCAAAATACTCTTTTAGATTCTGTTTTTAAATTTATTTATTTATTTATTTATTTATATTTGAGACAGAGTCTTGCTCTGTTGCCCAGGCTATAGTGCAGTGGCATCATCATAGCTCACTGCAACCCCAAACTTCTGAGCTTAAGTAATCCTCCTGCTTCACCTTCCTGAGTAGCAGGGACTATAGGCACACACTACCATGCCTGGCTAATATTTCTATTATCAGTAGAGTCAGGGTCTCGCTCTTGCTCAGCCTGGTCTCAAAATACTGGCCTCAAGCAATCCTCCTACCTTAGCTTCCCAGAGTGCTAGCATTATAGGCATGAGACACTGAGGCCAGCCTTAACTTTATTTTTGTGTTTTTATTGTTTCCATTTTGTTTTAAAAGATAAATGAAAGCCTCAAGTTGCCAAATGGCTGCACACATTTATTCCCCATACAACTGCCCTAGCAAGTTAACCTAAAACAATTTCTAAAATCTATTTTTAATGAGAAACTTCAATCCCTGAAATTTGTTTTGAACATATGATTGTTTCAGGGTATTCTTATGACCTAAGCTGGTCCCGTACACCTGAATGTTGGGACTTTAGTTGGGAATGTTGGGACAATGATTTTCCTTTTTTTTCCTGACTAGATGCCGTCTTGGACGACCAGAGTCATAGCCTGAGAGTGAGTGAATGTTGAGAAGGCAGGACCAAGGGATGGCAAGTGACAAGCTGGGTCTACTCCTGTTTTGTGGGGAAATATAAGCCCACATGATAAAAGAATTCATCTGGTTTTCTGTCATCTACAGGAGAAAGAGTCCTATGTGACGCAGTGACTAATTTGTATATTTCCCCACAAATGAATGCTCTCCAGCTTATCCTTGCCAGTCATCTTTCCAAAACACAGAGCTGAGTGTGATACTCTGGTTAAGAATAACTTGGCTTCCCAATGCCCCTAGTACAAAGGTCACACTTCTTTTCTCTTTCTTTCTTTCTTTCTTTCTTTCTTTCTTTCTTTCTTTCTTTCTTTCTTTCTTTCTTTCTTTCTTTCTTTCTTTCTTTCTTTCTAGCATATTATGGGAGTACAAATGCTTAGGTTACATATTTAGCCCTTGCCCCCCACCCAGAGTCAGAGTTTCAAGCATGTCCATCCCCCAGATGGTGCGCATCGCACTCATTATGTATGTATATATCCATCCTCTCCTCCCCTTCCTATCTTCCCAATGCCAGATAAATGTTATTCCTATATCTTCTTAAACTGTCATTCAAAGTCTTTTACAATCAGGCCCCCTTCTGCTTTCTCAGCCCAATTTTTTGCAAGTCTCATCCTTGGAAACATATCCTATGCTTTGGTGTGACCTAGCACATATTTTTATAGATATTGTAGGTTTGCTCATGTTCTCTCTGCCTGGATTGTGCTTACCTTACCACACTTCTTTCTAACTTACTAAGAATAGAACCCTGAGAACCTAAGATTCATTAGGTTCATTACTCTTAAATGTTAAGCATTATGCGTAGACGTTATTCCTGTTAATTCAAGGGCTAATTTGGAGAGTGCTGGTAGAAGGGAAGATTGACGTACCCAGACACCTGATAAAAAATGCATTTAGACCCCAAAGCTCTCATTTCATAAGGATTCTAATATGGTTATAGTACAAAAATTTCAGAGAGCATCAAGCTTAGACAAAGTGTATCTTTAAGTTATTGTAAAAATGAATAAGCAAGAAATAAAAACATATGTCCATACAAAAACATGTATAAGAATGTTCATAGCAGCATTATTCATAATAGCCAACTTGTAGAAATGAGCCTAATGTTCAACAACTAATCAATGTGTAAAGAAAATGTGGTATAACTATCCAGTGGAATATCATTTGGCCATAAAAAGAAATGAAATTTATACATGCCACAGTGAAGATGAACCTTGAAAAAATGCTAAGTGAATGAAGTCAGACACAAAGAGGCAATATATTTATGGTTCTATTTTTATCAAATGTCCATAACTGACAAATCTATAGAGACATAAAATAGATTAGTGGTAACATAGGGCTGGGGGTAATGCAAATATTGAAGGATGAAGGCTAGGTGGACTAGGGTTTCTTTTTGGAGTAATGAAAATGTTCCAAAATTGGTTGTGGTGATGGATGTACAACTCTGTGAATATGCTGAAAGCTGTTGAATTTTACACTTTTAATGGTGAATTGTATGGTAAATGAATTATGACTCAACAAAAAGTTTTTTTTTTTAATTATAGCAGGTTTATTCATAATTGCCAAAATTAGAAACAAACAAGATGTCCTTCAGTAGGTAAATAAATTGTGGTGTATCCAGACAATTGGATATTATTCACCACTAAAAAGAAACGAGCTACCAAATCATGAAAAACAACAACAACAACAACAAAAAAAAAAAACCATTGAGGAAACAGCCAGGTATAATGGCTTATGCCTATATCCTAGCACTCTGGGAGGCCAAGGCAGGAGGATTGCTTGAGCTCAGGAGTTCAAGACCAGCCTGAGCAAGAGTGAGACCTCATCTATACAAAAAATAGAAATATTAGCTGGGTGTGGTTATAGGTGTGTGCCTATAGTCCCAGCTGAGGCAGGAGGATGGCTTGAGCCCAGGAGTTTGAGGTTTCAGTGAGTGAGCTGAGATGACTCCACTGCATTCTAGCCAGTGACAGAGTGAGACTGTCTCAAAAAAAAAAAATTAGTGGAACTGAGACTGTATGAGTGTGCTGAACTTAGATCGAACAGCTGTGTTTGACGCCCTGCCTGTTGTTCACTACCTGTGGGCATTTGGCAGGGCGTTTTGCCACACTCATTCTTGGTTTCTCGTAAAATGAGGCTCAAATAGCTTAATTTACAATGTTATTGTATAGCTCAATTAGGCTTATCTTGTAAAAGTCCTGAGTAAATGTACAAAAGCTGTTGTGTCATTTACCACCCAGCCTTACTGGGATGTGAGATCTGCACACAGCATGCTAACTTAAGGAGATTCCTGGCTAAGTGTAGGCCCTTCTAAGGGAAGCAAGAATTACCCACTACCATTCCCTCCCTCTGCAAAGGTTAATTCATAAATCTCCTCCTATATATGATTTTTGTTTTAAGTTGAACTCATTATTGAAATAATCGTAGATCTGTATATGGTTGTAAATAATAAATCAAGGAAATCTTAAATACATTTAATTCCATTTACCTCAATAATAACTACTTTACTACAGTGTTAATATCATACCAGGATATTGACATTGATATCTTCCACTGATCTCATTCACATTAAAACAGTGTTACTTATACTTATTTGTATGTCTGTACATGCATCTGTGTGCATACAATTCTATTTAAATTTACCACCTGTGTAAGTTCATGTATCCACCACCAAAGTTAAGATATTAATTTTTAAAAGTTTTGATCAAAAAATACCTACATTGAAAAAGAAGGAAGATCCCAAATAACATTATACCTCAAGAAGGAAGAGCCCAGCCTAACATTATACTTCAAGGAGCTAGGAAAAAAAAAAAGAACAAAATAAACTCAAAGTTAGCAGAAGGAAGGAAATAATAAAGATCAGGACAAAAATAAATCAAATAGAGAATAGAAACCATAGGAAAAGAATCAATAAAACTAAGAGTTAGTTTTTAAAAAAATAAGAAAAATTGACAAAAGTTAGCTAGACTAAGAAAAAATGATAAGACTCAAATAAGTAAAATAAAATATTAATGAAAACCATTATGAGATATCCAGTTAGGAAATATTCCAGTTAGGAAAACTATTATCAAAAAGTCCAGATATAACAAGTGTTGGTGAGATGTGGAGAAAAGAAAACCCTTGTTCACTGTAGGTGGAGATATAAATGGATTCACCTATTATGGAAAACAGTATGGAGGTTCCTAATGAAATTAAAAGTAGAGCTACAATATGACCAGCAATCTCTCTTCTGGGGATATATCTGAAGGAAACATAGAGATACCTGTATTGCCATGTCCGCTGAAGCATTATTCGCAATATCCAACATATGGAAACAACCTAAATATCCACTGATGGACAAATAGATAAAGAAACTGTATTATATACACACAATGGAATATCATTCACCCTTACAAAAGGAGGAGATCCTACCATTTCCTACAACGTGGATGAACCCGACTGACATTATGCTAAGTAAATTAAGCCAGACACAGAAAGAAAAATACTGCATGATTTCACTTACATGTGGAATCTAAAAAAACAAAACAAAACAAAAACAGAATTCCTGAGGAAAATGGTGGAGTAAAGGTAACCCTCCCTCCCCCGGACTCCTGCTCCCAGAGAAGGAGACAGATCTTGGTCTCCTGCACGAAAGTGGATCTCCCCACTTCGAGGACAGCATCGAATCCGCAGAGGTTCAGCGCGGACTCTCATAAAAGGAAAAGCAAGGTGATCAGGAGATAACATAGTGTTCTCTGTAGAGTGCAAAGCAAACAATAGGGCGTGTGGGAGGGCACCAGCCCGCTGGGCCAGGGGGTGAAGTGGGATCAGACCCACAGGAGAACTCCTTGCTTCCCCACTGACCTCCACACCCACCCAGCCAGGGACCTGTCTGAAACTGGTGCGAAATCACGGCAGGAGAAGAGGGTGCTGGAGAGTGCGGTCAATGGTGGAAAATACCGTGAACTCCCCTTAGCCCCGTGCTAGGACGGCTCCAAAATGGGAGGAAACTGAACTGAGCTAATAAGGGAGGCAGTTAGACATCTTGCCTCTGGTAACTAGCGGGGCCAAACCTACAGAACTGTTCACTAAGTTGGGGCTCTAAGCTGTAACTGCCTCGGGCAAATAAGACTGCACCAGGCAGGTCAATAAGAGCTACCTCCTCCCCCCAGCTATGGCTGAACCGGAGGTCAGGCAGGCGGCATAGAGGAGGCCACGGGTCGTCCTGATGATCCAGACTCCCAACCCGGCACCTGCCACACCCTAAACAGTCGCCCCTAGTACTGGTGCCCTGCGAGTGGGCAAGCTGTCGCCATTGAGGGGGTCCACAGCCCAGCCATCATACCGTGCGCCAGGTAACCCCCTTCCCGCCCAGCCTAGAGTCTCTCCTGGCAAATTCTGCCCCTACACAATCTGCGATCGGCTGGCCAGGCCTGGCTCGATCAACAAACTACTGGAAAGTCTAACAGCCAAGGGAAGCCACAGCCACTGGGGCGCCCCGGTGCAGGCAGACTGGGGAGCTACCTCCTCCCCCCAGCCCGCATCTCTCCTGCCAAAAGTGGTAGGCTCCACCCATGGAGGCAGGACGAGACAAGAAAACCCACTCTCCCCCAGATCTAAGGAGAGGCCACTAGGCCTGAGTAGTGCGTAAGCACACAGTATAAAAGACTTCACTTCCCAGAACAGCTCAGGTCACCCAGTTGAACAAAAAGCTGGGACTGGATCTCCTCTGCGGTCAGGGGCAGGCTCCACAAGCAACTACCCCCATCAGGGGAACCTTCCAAGTGTGGTAGAAGAGCTCCCCCCAGTGGCTGATCAAGAAACTACACCTCTCACAAAACTACCTCTCACAAAAATCAACTCACGCTGGATAACAGACTTAAACGTAAGGTATGAAACTATTAGAATTATAGAGGAAAAAGTTGGAAACACTCTTCTAGACATCATCCTCGGCAAAGAATTTATGAAGAATACCCAAAAGGCAATCACAGCAGCAACAAAAATAAATAAATGGGACATGATCAAACTAAAAAGCTTCTGCACAGCCAAAGAAATAGTCATGAAAGTAAACAGACAACCTACAGAATGGGAGAAACTTTTTGCATCCTACACATCTGATAAGGGGCTGATAACTAGAATATACTTAGAACTCACGAAAATCAGCAAGAAAAAATCAAACAACCCTATCAAAAAGTGGGCAAAGGACTTGAACAGAAACTTTTCTAAAGAAGAGAGAAGAATGGCCAACAAACATGAAAAAATGCTCTGCATCTCTAGTCATCAGGGAAATGCAAATCAAAACCACAATAAGATATCACTCATAGTAATTCTACTACTGGGCATTTACCCAAAAGATCAAAAGTCACTTTATGAAAAAGACACCTGCACTTGAATGTTTATAGAAGCACAATTCACAATTGCAAAGCTGTGGAAACAACCCAAGTGCCCATCAATTCATGAGTGGATTAATAGAATGTGGTATATGTATACCATGGAATGCTACTCAGCTTTAAGAAACAATGGTGATTTAGCACCTCTTGTATATTCCTGGATACAATTGGAACCCATTTTACTAAGTGAAGTATCTCAAGAATGGAAAAACAAGCACCACACGTACGCACCAGCAAATTGGTATTAACGGATCAATACCTAAGTGGACATACAGGAATAACATTTATCAGGTGTCGGAAGGGTGGGAGGGCAGAGGAGGGGATGGGTATATACAACCACAATGAGTAAGATGTGCAATTTTGGGGGGATGAGCATGCTTGAAGCTCTTACTCGAGTGGAGAGGGAGGCATGGGCAATATATGTAACCTTAATACTTGTACCCCCATAATACACTAAAACAAAGTCTCCAAACAATAAATGCTGGCATGGATGTGGAGAGAGAGGAACACTCCTACACTTCTGGTGGGACTGCAAACTAGTTGAACCTCTTTGGAAAGCAATATGGAGATACCTTAAAGCGATACAAGTGGATCTACCATTTGATCCAGCAATGCCAGTACTGGGCATCTACCCAAAAGATTCAATGACACTCTACAAAAAAGATACCTGCACTCGAATGTTTAGAGCAGCACAATTCATAATTGCAAGGCTATAGAAACAACCCAAGTGCCCATCAGTCCAAGAGTGGATTAATAAACTATGGTATATATATACCATGGAGTACTATTCATCTCTAAGAAACAATGGTGATATAGCACATCTTCTATTTTCCTGGATAGAGCTGGAACCCATACTACTAAGTGAAGTATCCCAAGAATGGAAAAATAAGCACCACATATACTCACCAGCAAACTGGTATTAGCTGACCAGCACCTAAGTGTACACAAAGGAACTACAGTAATTGGGTATTGGGCAGGTGGGAGGGGGGAGGGTGGCGGATATATACATACATAATGAGTGAGATGTGCACCGTCTGGGGGATGGTCACGCTGGAAACTCAGACTTGTGGGGGGAGGGTAGGAAGGGGCATTATTTGAAACCTTAAAATTTGTACCCCCATAATATGCTGAAATAAAAAAAAATAAACAAAAACCATTAAATATACAGAGATAGAAAATAAAACAGGGGTTCTCGGGGCAGTGTGCCAGGGAAGAAATGGGGAGGTGCGGGTCAAAGGATACAAAGTAGCAGATGTGTGAGACAGACAAGTCTAGAGATCTAATGTATAACATGAGGGCCGTTGTCACTAATAAATAGTGTCTTGTATTCAGGATTTTTGCTAATGAGTAGATTGTAGCATCTCTTGCTACACACACAAATCATGGGTAACTGTGGAATGATAAATATATTAATCTATTTCATTATAGTACCACTTTACTATATATATGTGCCTCTTAATATCATATGAAAGGTATGTCTTAAATATGCACAATTTAAGAACCCATCATGATGTACATCTTAAATATATAAAATAAGTTGAGTACAAATAAAATAAAACAAAATAAATGAGTGTGTCCTCCCCAGCAAAAGGGGCTTTAGAAAACTTAAATACACAGCGACCGGATAATTTTGCAAAAATATGCCCTTGACTCAGATCTATGCACATGTTAATTTTACCTGCCTTATCAACAATATACAGCAGTCACACGCAAAGCACCATTCTAGGTGGTGTGGCTTGAGGCCAGAGCCACCAAAGCAGGCCTCAGAGGGTATGCACCAATGTCTAGTCTCCTCCACAGAGGCTCTCTATGTGCCCAGACACTCTGGAGCTACTCTCTGTTGCTCTTTCTGTGTCTCTGCAAATCCTACTTCTTCTCCCTGAAATGTTTTCATTCTCTGCTTAAAATGCACTGTCTTTTGAGGCCCAGCTCACAGGCCTCATAAGCTATGCATGGACACAGCACTGCAGGAGCCAGCCCTAGAGTCTGGTGCATGCTCCTGGTCTGTGATTTGGTCACCCACGTGGAATATGGCTTCTTACATCTCATGGTGCAGGTTTCTGGCTCCTTGAATTTTCTTCTTATCCTGACCTCTCCAACTGCTGCCACCATTAATCTGTGATCCCACTGGGGTCTTGTGTAAGTGTATTCTGGTCCCTGAAGTTTACAATCATAGTTGTCACTTACCAACATCCTGTGACTCTGTCTTCTTCCTCTCAGAGGCAGATTTCCTAGAATGGTCCTAAACAGAATTTCCTGGAACAGAATGGTCCATTTCAGTTGAGGGTCAGGTGACTGATTGGCAGAGCGTCTCCAAAATGGGGACTACAAAATGAGATTTGCATTACAGCCCATCACAGAACAAACCCACATTTATGGCAACAGAAAGAAAAACCAAAACAGGATCAGTTTCTGAAGATTTTCAGATCCAAACAAACCACATTCTTGTGAAGCAACATATAAATCATGCAGAGAACTGAAGAACTCTCTAGTAGTCAGAGAAAAGAAGGTCATGTGAACTTAATCTCCCATGAGCGTCAAGTCAGGATCAGCTCTGGGTTGGCTTGAATCCTCACTCTCAGCTAGAAGAGACACATCAACGTGACAGCAAAGCTCCCATCCCAGCCTGGAGGTGTATTAGCCAGTGGCCCTGACTCTAGAGGGGATATCTGCTCGGCCTCCAGGGTGTCATCCCCACGGTGCTCAGCACATGCTAAGCACAGTCACTGCAGCTGCTCCTGCCCTCAGCCACAGGGGTAGGTTCTGGTGGCCACACTGTGTGGGCAGTATGGCCATCCTGGCATGGCTCTATTGAGGCTTCTTTGCTCTTTTTGCTGGTTCAGTTGTGTCTTCCTGAATCCCCCCAAAAAAAACCATAGAACGTTTGCTGTTGTTGTTAGTGTCCGTACCCATGTGTGATAAAAAAACATTTCCTTAGAGGGATGTTCCAAGTCTTCCTCCCATCCAGGAGGTTCCCCTGTCAGCCCAGGACTCCCACTACTGGTGAGGGGAGTGGGGGACAGGTGCTATGCGATTATGCAAGCCACATGGGATGCCCTTTCTTTAGTTGCTAATCAAAATCCCCATTGCAGGCCAACAGCTGAGAGCCACTCTGTAGAGGTGATGCCACAGTGAGTAAGATTTCCACTCTACACTCTGGGAACTCATTGGACCAAATGTTACCAGAGAGGAAGTGAGGAGCAAAATGACCCTAAATGGTGTGGTCTTAAACTTTACAATGAAGCTGTAAGCAAAGTTAATCCAAGACAGGAAGGCAATTGATATGGTTTTGACACATCATTTTTTAGAAAGAGTTCAATTATATAAATAATCCATGGTAAGTGAAAAATAATTTTGAAATATGGACAAGAAGAGGAAAATTAAAATCACCAAATTACCGATCTCTGGGAATATGTGCCTCTGATCATGGTTCTGTCTCTCACTTTCATTTTCCCAAAAATAGCATAATGACATCTTTGGCACTCTGCAACCTGCTTTGGACTTAGTTAATTTTCCATATTTGTATGAATGACTAAATCAAAACGCTATTATCTTAATGAATGCAGAGTTATTCGGTTTGTATGCACCATGATTTGAGTATCCCAAAGAAATTACAATAACTGTCTTTATATCTAATTGTTTGTACACATCCTTGTTTACTTAGAATGGATTCTTAGAAATTGAATTGCTCAACAAAGACACATTTTATACACATTGCCAAATGGATAAATTCTTTTGGCCTGTACTTTGTTGATAATAAACACCAATATGGCATACTAAAACTTATTTCTCCACACACAGCATGTCACAGATCTGCTCCCTGGAGTTACCATGCTAACTTCAAATTACTCGCTTGAACAAACTCACATGTGTGGTATTTACCCACCAACATTACTGCACCAGAAAAGATGTGAAGGGCCAGCAGTGGTGGCTTATACCTATAATCCTAGCACTTTGGAAGGCTGAGGCAGGAGGATCATTTGAAGCCAGGGGGTCGAGACCAGCCTGGGCAACTTGGTGAGACCCTCGTCTCTAAAAATAATAGAAACAAATTACCCAGGTGTGGTGATGTGTGCCTAGAGTGAGTCCCAGCTACTCAGGAGGCTGAGAGAGGAGGATCATTTTAGCCTAGGACTTCGAGGCTACAGTGAACTGATTGTACCACTGCACTCCAACATGGGCAGTGGAATGAGACTCCATCTCTTAAAAAAAATCTGTAAAGTACATCATGTTTACTCATTCACATGGAAAGGTGGTAACTTATTTTTTCTTATTTTTAATGCCTTAATTGCAATATATTGCCAACCAATACAAACCACAGTAGCACACAGACAGAAAATAGGACACAAATAGGGAGGGGAGGAAGAAAAGGAATATTCATTAAGATATGTGTAACAGCACCACATTCTCTAAATTTTGAAAATGCTTAACAAAAAGCCATAAACAGGTGTTTAAACCTTGACCACCAATCAAGGTCTTTGTCCTTTGCTGGTCCCTAGGAAGGTTGTGTGGTCCAGTGGTGGGGACGTGAGGCTGGAGTAGAAGGGCAGGGCTCTGGGCTCTTGCTCCTCGCCTTAGAGTCCTGTGAATAAATTTGAGCAGATAGATTAAGTTTACCATCTGCAGCTGGATGAAAAAGCTTGCCAGATCCATATTATATTATAATTCTCCATGAAGATTGCATTAAATTAAGGAGCTCTGATTAAGACCAACTGGCATAACTGCATGGGCTTTGTTATCTCCAGAAATGCATGCTATGCTTGCTTAATTAGTTTTTCTTTCAGTTATTTGAAAGGCTACTTTCACGGGGATGTTGGAACATGATTATGTGTGAAGTTTGGCAGTTAGCAGTGACACCTGGGTCGTGACTTGTCACCTTCAAATGCCCAGAGCATCATCGATCAGGTCTACTCAGAAAAGCCAAGATGGGGGGAAATGATCACTTGGCAAAGCTAAGTGTGAAAGTACAGGCTACGGTGCACTCGCACTACACACAGACACAGGCAGCAAATGCATTAGGTTCTTTTAAAATCACAAATGGTTCTAATTTTCCGTGTGTTTCAAAGCTGGAAACAATGGCACTAACTAAAATCCATAGATATTCTGGTTACAGTCACCTGCTGGACACAATTTTTCCTCAAGCTGCCAAAGGCAAAATTGAGAAGGTAGCAACCTCCCTGCCATCTCCTCAGAGAGCAGCCAACAAGCAGGAGAAAGGTGAGGAACGTAGGATATGAAGGAGGAGCTGGGATTGGTGCTTAGAAAGTAGACAGCACAGACAACAGGAAGAAGGAGAAGGGCAGGGATGGTAAGTACGGACCCTGTCCCGAGCACCACACTACACTTTTACCCAATCTCTTTAGTGGTTATCGTTCATTTTCATTTTACACATCAGGACATAAAGATTCAGAGAAGAATCACTGTGGATGCGAACGGTCAGGCAATAGCTGTTCGTAGCAGGGTTTTCTATGGTTTTCTTATGCCAAATACTGAGCTCATTCCTCTGCCAGAATCCAGAGACCTTGAAATCATGTAGCCCAATAATGGGCAAGATATAGCTGGGCAGAGCTGGGGCTGTTGCAGACACAAACGTCGACATCAGTGATGACAGGAATAATAATAGTAATAATTGCAACAATCATAAACGTTTGCTCAGCACTGACTGTGTGTCCAGCACGAGTTACCACACTGTATACCCGTTTTCATCAACAGGGGTAAGCTGTGCTGCAATAATAAAGCAATGTCACGATTGTTCGTGACTCGAAGCAGCAAAGGCTCATTTCTCACTGGCACTGCATGTCCAGTGTGGCCTGGCCAGGGCCTGTGCTCTGTGCTATTTTTCACTATCTGGCAGACGGAGAGAAATAGCAAATCCCACACTGCCCCTTGTGGCATCTACCTAGAAGGGACACAAAGCCTGATGCCACGGGCCAAAGGCCAGTCACAGGCCAAGCCTGACTTCAGGGGGAGTGGGCTGTGCTTTTAAGGGGGAGACAGGATTGGAAATATCAGGCAACGGCAGCAGTGACTGCCACACCTGTGTATGCCGCTTACCTCCCAGGAAGCTACTTTGCAGCAGAGGAAATGAACCACAGAGAGCTTAGGGAACCGTTGTCAATGCCACACAGCTAGTGTGGATAGAGCCGGACCTTGACTCCAGGCAATTGGACTCCACAGTCTGCTCTCTTTTCTTGTAAATTTATTTTTAATTGACATGTAGACGTTGTATTTATTTATGGTATAAAACATGGTGTTTGGATAGCCAGAATGTTTACATTGTGGAGTGGCTACATCAATAATTAACATATGTATGACCTCACCTACTTAACAGTTATTTGTGGTGAGAACACTTAAAATCTACTCTCTTACCACTCTGTGAGATCACAGTGCAATTGTCATTAACTGTAGTCACCATGGTGCACAATGCAGGTCTTGACGCTGTTACTTTTCACTGAAACTTTGTACCCTTGATCCAGAGCTTCCCAGTCCTCCCCATGACCCAACCCCTGGGAACCCTCATTCTACTCTCTGCTTCTATGAGACCAACTTTTCTACATTCTATATATAAGTGAGATAATGCAGGTTTTACCTTCCTGTGTCTGGCTTTTGCACTTAGTACAATACACTCCAAGTTTATCCATAGTGTTGCAAATGACAGGATTTCCATCACTCTTAAGGTGGAATAGTATTCCACTGTGCACATATCCTACATTTTCTTTATCCATTCATCTGCCATGGACACTTAGGTTGGCTCCATATCTGGGCTATTGTGACTATGCTGTGATGAACACAGGGTGCAGATACTACGGTCTACACTCGTTACCAACACACATTTCTCTCTCTCTAGCTGCTCTTAACTGAGTGCCAACCATGTACTAGGCACTGAACTCAACATAATGTATATCCTTTACTCCTCCCAATCCTGCAGGTTTTATGCTTCATAATTTACCAATGAGGACCATGAATCTTACCATAAGGACAATGAAGATAGGTAACTTATTCTACTCTCCTAAGTAGCAGTGGAAATTTGAGCCTTAGCTTGTCTGACCCTGAAGCCTATGTCCTTTGACTTTACTTTATGAAACCCATGGGAGACCTAGCAAAACTCTGAATGTGATAAATATTAAACACCCACTCCACACAAGGTATGTGAAGCTCAAATAACTCTAATGTTGGCTTGTAGCTGGTACTAATATTTGAAAGCAGCAAGTCACATGGAAGGAACAAGAAAAGGAGAGACTGGACACGGAGAAATCACAGCCCACAGGATGCTTCTAGGAGGATTATCAAAAGGCACTCCTTCCTCAAGACACATTATTTCTGTCACTTGGAATATTGTCCTAATACATGGCTTTGGTAGGATAAGATCCTCTGCTGCCACCTGCTAGAGAGTTGTTGTAAAACACATGCAAGTCTGTGGCAGCACCATGACCTTGAAGAATGTGCACCAAGCACACACTGTAAGTGGTGGCCTGACTGCTCACCAAAGAGCTCCTCGGTCTCCTTTTCCATTCTGCCCAGGCTGCATCCCATGTGCATTTATTTGGTTGTTCTAGGACACATAGAAAAAGCCTCGTTGTCATGATGCAATGGCAGGTCACAGATACTATCAGCCCCTCCCATGAGAAAAGTCGTGAGAATCTAAGAATATGCAAGAACATGCAGGCTTCCTGTCTTTTCCCTATTCTGAGGGAGTGATTTGGAGTGTGTACATGATTTACTGTGTGCAGATCTGAGTGTTCATCTCAGCTCTGTCACTTTCTGCCTGGTGAACTTTCACAAGTCACTCTACCTCTGAGTGTTCAGTTACTTCTCTTTGGAGAGGCATTGTGTCCCCAGTCTGTGTGTCTCAGGCCAGGCCCATGATCCTGCTCTATGAGGACTTGGAAGCACATGGAGAAGGGATGCACCACACACATGCTGGTAGCCACGTTAACGAGCTCTCTTCTGACTGCTGCTCACCTGCTCACTGAAAGTGTGTAAGTTTCTGTTACCAAGCCAGGCTCCACATCAGATGATCAGATGAAGAATGAACAAAACTTGGCTTTTATAGTTAAGGGAGTGTTTGGTCACCAGATTCAGAGTTATTGGAGAGTAGAGACTCTATGTTAAGTTTTTCTCTGCAACCCCACCTTGTACCTAGGACAATTCCAAGGTCATCAGATGTGCCTAAGGAGCTGTTTTCCAGTTAATGGATTTTAAGAGTTAATCTCTGCACGTGGCCCAGTGTCTCCTTGGTGTTAAATTTTTTTGTGGTACTGGATGACCAAACTGAAGTTGATCTTAACTAGTCTCCTGGTTTCAATAAATAAAGATTTCTATATCACCGATGATGGAGACTCAGACTTTTGGGGGGAGGGGGGGAAATGGGCATTTATTGAAACCTTAAAATCTGTACCCCCATAATATGCCAAAATAAAAAAAAAAAAAAAAAGGAAAGAATCTCCTTAAAATGCTAGTTACCATAAAAAAAAATAAATAAATAAAGATTTCTTATCTCAACCCAACCCCTTATCTAGTTTTTAAACAATGTGTTTGGAAGAATTTGAATGACTATGCGTTGATTAATATCAAGTGATGACAGTAATACTAACAGCTGCGATTCACTAGGGGATTCCTGCACATCAGCTTTGCAGGTCGAGGTTCACCAGGAGCAAGTCAGACCTACTGGAAAATGTCCCTCTTGCCCTTTAGACCAGAGTGTATTACACGTTTGATTTTAGTTGAGTGCTTTACAGTGTATTTGTATCATGATAGATAAATTAATTTCCTGGGTAGGAAAGTAAATCCTTAACTAAATCTCTGAAGAGTATTGACTACCAGGTCTGTCATATTGAAAGGCAGATTTTAAGGCTGGGTCCTCACCGTACATTGTTCAGCACTTTCGTCAGAAGCTCAAGTGAAGACAGATTCGAAGCTGTGCTACAGAAAACAGTCAAGGTAAAAAAAAATGGCACTGACAGAAATGAGGTGCTACAGAAAAATAAAATGAAATTTACTAGGAAAAGCTATAATAACATCTATTACAGACAGTCACTTTCAGGGCACAAAGGATTGCTAGCTTGGTTATGACATTTGTGATGAAGAAATGAGATTTTAGACAAGCCAAACTTAACATGAACAAATCCTGTGACATGTCTGCCAAATCAGAGAGAACAGCTGAAACCCAGCACCAAAATTCAAGGTGGCAATAGTTCTGCTGCCTTCACTGTGGATGTCACTGTAGCTAGAATTATTTTCCCATTTTTAAAACATTTTTATATTCTAAATACATTCATATGCATTTGAAAATTTCCTCTGAAAATGTGCATAATAGGCTAAGTGTGGTGGCTCATGCCTCTGATCCCAGCATTTAGGGAAGGAAAGGTGGGAGGATTACTGGGGGCCAAGAGCTCAAGATGAGCCTGGACATCATAGTGAAACCATGTCTCAACAAAACATAGAAAAATTAGCCAGGCATGGTGGCAGGCACCCGTAGTCCCAGCTTCTCAGGAGGTTGGAGCAGGAGGATCACTTGAGCCCAGGAGTTGGAGGCTACAGCGAGCTATGATGAGGGCACTGTACTCCAGCTTGGGTGACAGAGCAAGACCCCATCTCAAAATCAAAATAAAACAAAACATACACAGTAATATATTCTCAATTGATTTGGAAAATTCAGAATATCTCAATAATTCACAATAAATATTCAACTGTAGAGAATATTTGAAAACCTTTGCTCCTCCTTTGGCCTTTGTTTTAAAAGCTTGCAGCAGTTTTTCATGCACACAGTTTTAAAATATTTTTTATTTGTTCTGTTAAGTGACAAAATGGGGACTAATCATATATTCCTTTCATAAATGAGGAAGATTAAATTGGGAGGTGGTTATGTCATGGTAACTCATCCTGGAATCTTCTACAAACATCATTAGGTGAGTCATGTTGGTGGGAGCAGGGGTAGCTCATTTCAAGAATGACATTGACAGAGAATTTTACACAGATGGCAGGATGTTTTAAACCTTGCTCATATATAGAAACTGTGAATATTTATCCAAGGATTCATAAATCATAAAGGCCTTCAACTAAGTGAAATAAACTATTCCAGTAGAGAAGGAAAAAGGCTGTGTGCCCCACTGCTGTGACTTCAGAGCCAGATTATTGTCTGATACCAATCCGTATGTCTGGGCTTGCCTGGCCCAGGGGAGCCACTCCCTTTGCTCCAATTCCAAATTTTTTTATTTGCAAAATATCTTTGGCTAAGTGCTGAAATATCTGGAAAAATTCTGTGTTCTTTTTTGTGAAGGCAACTTGTGGAATGTGCAGATGACTCAAGGCTTCCAGGAATGTTTGGGTTCAATTTCTTTTGAGGTGTATTGACGCTTCCCAATTCTGGTAACAATAAATTCACTTTGTGGGACACAGCTACGTAGTGGTTGAACAAAACCAAACTGTTCCAAAGACCAGTGTGTTTGTGTGTGTGTGTGTGTGTGTGTGTGTGTGTGTGTTTTTCTCCAAAGAGCCAATATATGTCCTATTAATTCTGAGGGAAGTTAAGTCATCTCAATTCTTTCCTTGTTTTGTCTGGTTTGAACTACTCTGTTTTTGCTACTCACTCTCATTTGGACAAAAATAGAGAAAAAAATTCATATTTATCTCAAAAAAGATAAGTGAGGGCAGGTGGCACCTTCCTTTACACACACTGGGGACTCCATGCGACCTGCCCCGAGTGCCCTCTCCCACCACCACACTCCTCCAGCGCTGCAGGGCGGTGGTCCCGACCAGCACCACGGTTCAAATGAAGATCCCTAAACAGATGAAAACCATGAAGGACATGGGGGCCGGCCACTGCGACTACCGGATCACAGGATTTGCAGCTAAACTGGTGGCTCCACAAGTACAGGCTACAGCTGCTCCTGGTGAGCAGGGTGAATGCAACTGCAGGTGGGGAGGGAGGCCTGACTTTGGTGGCACTGGGTACCTACCACCAGGGGAGGACTGGGCATTAGAGATCCCTCCTCTGAGAAGTGGCACTAATGCCACATCCCTGGGTCACCCACCCTTCCTGCAGGATGGGCCTCATCCTCTGTGATTTCAAGGTTCCTGGCAGGGACTCTGTCCTCCATTCCTTTACCTCCTCTTCTGCAGTCAGTCAGAGAGGACCACTGCCTCCAACCCGCCCCAACCCACCCCACCCCATCCTGGTCACACGTGCCAGTGGTCTCACCCTGACCCTGGGTCACCAGTGACAACAGCCCCTCTGAGATCTCAGTCCCAGGAAGCACCCCTGCCTCAGATTCACCACCTGCCCATGTGAAAGTCAGTGCCCAGTGGTCTGGCTGCTCACCTCAGCTGGCCCTGGACTGGTATCTGGGGTCTGGGGTTGTGGATGTGGGAGGGCTGGCAAGCTCTTTAACTGACTAGGGCGGCGCCCTGTGCCCAGGCTGTTTTACCCAACAATGTGGTGTGTGCTGAGCCCCTTTTTTCCTCCTAGGACTCTGGCATGGTGGCCCATGCTGGGCATAATGTGCCTATGTGGCCATCTGGCAGTAAAAACCCTGCCCTTGAGTCCACAGGGACTGTGCCTGGCCTAGAACATCTCATGGATGATGTCACAATGGATGAGTCCCATGAGACAGCACTGGGGCAGGGCTGTGTGAGCTCACACTGGTTTCCTCTGGGCTTTACCTCTTACTGATCCTGCTGTGTGTCCTCTTGCTCTAAGAGAGCACAGCTGTGAGAAGGACCATGTGCCGGGTCCTGCCAGTGCCCCCTGCCAGTTGTCATCCTTGGGGTGAGAGTGGATCCTGATGTGCACCACCATGCCTGGACCTCCCTGGGCTGCCTGCCCATTGTTCCTGTTGGTAGGACCTCCAAGATTTTTCCTGTTCCTCTCTGTGCTGCCCTCACCTGACACAAATGTTGCCCTGGCTAGAATCCAGCTCCCCCTGCTCTGCACGACCTTCCACCTCCAGGGGCTTCTTAGTACCCAAGCTGCCCAGATTCATCATGCTCCTATAGTCAGAGCCAACATTTTGTTCACTACCCCCAACATCCCATGATGCTTGTACCCCCCTCCAGTTGATGACTCTGCTTCCTACTTCACTAACAAGAAGAAAGCCATTCACAAAAGAATAGCCCCAATTCCCACAGCCCCCTGCACATCTGCCCTGTGATGACCCACCCTGCCAGGGCCCAGCAAAACCAACCTCCCACCTGGCCACCTGCTCTCTTTTCCTCACCAGCAGCATCCACACTCTCCCAAATGGGAAAATTTGTTCCCTGGACTGTCCCTTTCAGGTCAGCATCCTAACACAAGGAAACCCCTACCCCTACTCCACTGTTTTCTCCAGCTGCTATTCCTTGCCCTCCACCCCTTTCAATGTGAACTTCTGGAAAAAGCGACCTCTGGGTCCTCACACCCACCCCACCTCACTCTCCCCAGGACCTGCTCCAGTGGGCCTCTGAGTCCCCACACTGAGGACACCAGGCTTTCCAGGGAGATGATGATGACTGGTCCTCAGTCCTGGTATGGTCTTGCCTCAGGGCCTTTTCTCAGGCTATTCTGCAAACGCATTTCTCTCCCTGGCCTCCTGCAGGCCTTTATAAAACAGGCCGTCAGTGAGCCCTTCCCTAGCCAACTGGCTTACAACCCCCAAATCCCAAGACCTCCCTTTCCCTTACTTAGTTTTCTCTGTAGACATTTTCCATAATATGTGCATTATCAGTTTTGTTATCATGTCTACTTTGCTAGAATAAAACAGGAATTATTTTTCTCATTTGCTCACACAAGAAGAATGCCTGATATATGATAGGTGTTCAGTGGTTGATGAATGAACACATGGGAATGAAATTGAATAAAAATAATCAGAAGTAATGAAAAAACAGAATTAGAAGAAATGTTTTTAAAAATCAACACTATAAGCCTGAGATTCTACCCCAGAATGTAAAGGAAGGGAAGGAATGGCTAGAACAAATGAGAAGAGAGCATTGCATGGGGATGCAGCCTACAGGTGAAACAATAAGGACAGAAAAAGAATAATTAAAACATGATAGAAGAAAAGTTTACTCAACTGAAGAGAGACTTCTCTCTACTGATGAGAAATGCTGAGCAGTAAAGAGTGATGGAAACTGATGAACATCTAGATTTGTCTATTTTCTAGACAGACATCTAGAAACCTCGATGCTTCCAGAACCCAAATCCACCATGGGGAAAGATAGTTATTTCTTTGTTAAAATTTTAAATACCAGAAAATAATAGACAAGAGTTGTGAAGGGAAAATGTTACAGCAACATAATTTGATAACAGGTCAAATTCTTGTTCATCTACAAAAGCAAAACAAAACAAAACATTGATATTCTCACCTACTCCAGAGCTTAAAATATACACCAGCCATCATACCACTCCTGAAAAATCAGTTTCTTACAAAAACATTACAGGGAACAGGAAAGCAATGAAAAATAACAAAATATGCACAGAGAGGGTGGGAAGTTTTACCAGGTATAGAGTGTTAATTTCAAATTTTTGTAATTAGGAAAATAAAATGGGATTCAAAAGTCAAAAATAAGATTTAAAAGAGAACACATTTGCAGACTTGCAAGGATGTAGAAAAATTAAGGCACTCATACCATAGATAACAAGATGGACTAATGGAAGGAAGGAGGGAGGGAGAGAGGGAGGGTGATGTGAACAGATGGAGGGATGGACAGATAGCCAGACAGATGGGCAGATGGATGGACAGGTGGACAGATGGGTGGATGGATGGACAGGTAGACAGATGGATGGATGCATGGCTCAACTGATGAGTAGATGGATGGAAACAGAGATGAGCAGATGAATAAATGACAGATGTAGCATTTGAAATCCCTCAGCTAATTAGGAGCAACTAGGAAGAGCAAAGAGAACTGAGAGGAGCAGAGATTCACCTATGGGAAACAAGGGAACCAAGCCTGGAAAAGAATTGCTAACAGCTTCCATGGTTGGGCTTGAAGGGCAGCTTGAATTTTATCTGGAAAACAACAGGGAGTCTCTGAATTTCTTTGACAAGGAAGCAGTATGAGAAAGGCAGTATTTTCAGTTTGCATAAAAAACAAACTCTCTGGTTTAAAGGTGAAATGTGGGTGCAAAGAAATGAAGTAAAATGTAGAGGAAAGGCCAGGAGAAAGGGCCTGAATGTGGAGGTGGGGGTGGGAAGCTGACCGCAAGTCACAGTGTGAATGAAGAACCCCGAGGCTGGGTAAAACTGGGTAGCACTGGGGCAGGGGCAGGTGGCAGCGGCAAGCATGAAGTTGATCCAATCTGCCACTCGCGTCATTGAGAAATTTCAGAGGAATTATGCTGGCCTAGGTACGACATTTTTTATGTGAGAGCTGGGATGACAGGTATCTCCTCCCCGTTCCCATGTGTCTCGCACATACTGCAAGAGTCAAGAACCACCATCTCCCACAGCATGTTGGTCCTTAGTGGGAGTAAGCTTGGTTGCCCACAATGCTATCCTGTGCACTAGCACTTTTGTCATTGGCTTGTCTTCCCCACCTATCTCTGTTGCTCTCACTTGTGTATCCCAGGATCACCTGCAAAGTAAAGTTCCTACATCTAGGGCTTTGACTTAGGATTTTCTGCTGTGAGAACTCAAAGTAAGGCAAGTGACATGAGATGAACTGCTGTGAAATATTTGTTTTTCAATAAATGTATGTAATTGCCATGCTTTTTCTTTTCTACTTCCAGAATGGTAAGCCAGAACTAGAATTTTCTTTCTCCCTGTGTACTTTATTCAAGTTCATGTGGTCACTTTGTGATTATTATATCTTGCTGCTGCAAAATCTGAACCTTGGTGGGCACGCAGTTTAAGAAATAAGAGATTATTTATCTATCTATTGAGAGAGGGCTGCTCTTGAGATATCCTGCGTATCTCACTTGGCTCATTGTAGAAAACATGAAAAACAGATAAATAATAAAAAGGAAATATAAACCACCCATAATTACATTTCAGAGTTCATTACTATAATTAGAATACCATAGGAGGGAAATTTGACAATTTGTATCAAAAGATATACCTAGTTCTTGACTAAGAAAGGGGTTTGCCTTAAGAAAATAGTTACTGTGTTCTGTCTTAGTTGGTTTAGACTGCTATAGCAAAATACCATAAACTGAGTGGCTTATAAACAACAGACATTTATTTCTCACAATTTTGGAGGCAAGGAAGTCTGAGATCAAAGTGCTGACAGATTTGGTGTCTTGTAAGGGTCTCCTTTCTTTATCATAGACAGCAATAGACAGGGTGGAACAAGTGAGGGATCTCTCTTGGGTCTCTTGTATAAGAGCACCAATCCTATTCTTGAGGGCTCTGCTCTCATGACCTAATCACCTCACCCAAGACCCCCACCTCCTAATACCATTGCCTTAGGGTTAGGACTTCAACATATGAATTTGAGGGGGACACAAACATTCAGACTACAGCAGGTGCCCAGAGTATTTATTGCAGTGTTATAAGTAATAAATAGTTTTAAACCTGAACTGATATATGTAAAGCTATTTATTAAATTCATCATGGTCTAGCTATACAACTGAACATGAAATAGCAAATAAGAATTATATTGTAGAAGAATGACATTGAAATATCTACATTGTATATAGTTAAGTAAACATGGTAGTATTTAAAATAATAAATACATTAGTAGATACACACACATACACACACACAGAGGCACACCTCATACATACCGTGGGTTTGGTTCCAGACCACCACAATAAAGCCAATATCCCAATAAAGTCATTCACAAATATTTTGGCTTTTCAGTAGATATACAAGTTATGTTTACACTAAAGTCTATTAAGTATGCAATAGCATTACGCCTAAAAATATAATATAGAAAACTTAATTAAAATGCTTTATTGCTAAAAATTGCTGAAGATTATCTGAACCTTCAGAAAGTTATAATCTTTTCAGTAGTGGAGAGTCCTGCCTTGATGTTGATGGCTGCTGGCTGATCAGGTCATTACTGGTGGTTGCTGAGGGTTGGGGTGACAGTGGCAATTTCTTAAAATAAAATGATGACATTTGCTGTAAAAAAAAAAAAGAAATAAGAGATTATTGGTATGAGCTTTAAAAAAATGCATTACTCACAGATTAGCATTGTGTAATTTCAGGATGGACAGATTCATTCCCTCAACTCCTCTGTGATTTGAAATGTAGCCCAGTTTCTTTTTTGTACAAGTCTGTGTTCTTTGGCAATCACTATGGCTAGGGAAAGATTTTATTCCCAGTTAACATCTTTTATAGTCAAAGAATAGCAACAGACTCAGGTTAACTCAATACAAAGAGAGGATGGAAACACATGACCCATGGGCAATAGACAAGAACCCTTCTAGCCTCAAGAAATAATAAGCTCTCTGGATTTAAAGGCACCCTTAAGAATTTCCTGGGTCTCTCCCATTCTTCTTTTAGAATACATGATTCATTGTCTTCTTGGGTAATTGACTTGCCTTGATATCTTATGGTTCCTTCTCTTCTATCACTTCAAGCTTATTTATGACTTTGGCTTCCTC